CCATCCGTGACTTGAATCTCCAGCTCCCTAAAGCGCCTTCTCCTTCCCCTGCGGCATGAATCCTCACCCTCGCCATGCTAACACCCACATTTTGTGTTTAATTTCTATGCTTGCTGAAACAATTAACTTTGGTACTAACAGAATAGGAGCTATTTTCCCAATATTGCTTATAATAAAACAACAACTTTAACTAGGAGAACTTGTGACCGGTCTTTTCCCTGGAGCCAGAGGCAAGTGGCTAAGCACTCACCCAGTGTGCCACCTGCTTCCTGCTGACAAAAGTCTGCTTGCTGGCAGTGTAGACTCAGTTAGCTGTGGGCCTGGAAGCTGGGTTTTTGACACTCCTAAGTTAAACCGTAGTGGTTAGGACAGTCCTGTCACATGGAAAGGATAACGACCCTCTTCTCTGACACATTCCGAGAACCCAGGCCGACACAAAGGGACCAAGGCCAGCTCTGTCCCAGCACTGGGAATCAAAGTACATGGATGACAGTCAAGAAGTGCAATGGCTAAAGCTTTCACAAACCCCTGGTTCCCACAATTTATCCCATTTCCCAAGATGAGCCGGGCACAGGCCTTCCTGTTTTTACACTTCAGGGCACTGATGGAGCTTGATGGTCTCTGCAAGTAAGCTGGCTGTGTGCTGTGCTTCCTGCTCCCGAGGATGGCCATGTGGAAGAGCTCTGGTCTGCAGTTCCAGTTCCTAGGCAGAGGCCTAGAGCTAGGCATACTCCCTGCAGGGAGGCCCAGAGTCGCTGAAAGCTTTAGGGGTTCTAGCTAATGGTGTCACTTGGTGACTGCAGAGGTCCCTAGTTGGTAGCAGCAGCTCCTCCCGTGTGCTCAGGTTTCAAAGTACTTGTAGATGGCTGTGACATACAGCATTACGTTCTGCCAGTCGGGTCGTTCGGTGCGGGCCATCTCATTGATGTCCTGGTGGAGAAGAGGCTCAGTTAGGACTCATCTATCTTCCCAGGCTATCCCGCAGGCTTCTAGTCCCAGCAAGCAGCAGGTAGCTTTTAGTCTAAGGCTTATTGCCTCTTTCAGAGGACAGGCCTTGAGCACCAGCTCTACCGCCACCTACAGCCTCTGTGCGTACCCCTTCCTATCAGGATCATCCCAAGTCACACTCTTGTGCTTCCAGAGGCTTCTCTCTGCCCCAGCCATAGCTTGCCAAGGCCTGAAGTACTTCCCTTTGGGCCCACAGAGTCCTAGTGACCTGTAGTATAGAAGCTGACTGCTCCTGGCCCCAGTGTCTCAGCACCTGTCACAAGTGCTGCTGCGAACTAAAAGGCAGGGCCAGGTAGTCTGAGGGCTATTTCACAGCTGAGGAACTCCGAAGTACTACCCTGAGTACTTCAGAAAACAAGGCTTCGTGAATGAATCTTGACTACAAGATTCCTTTTTAGGCTAAAACACCTAGCTAGCCACTTTTCATGAATGAGAACACTTCATACATGGTACAAAATGTCCTAGTGCAGTATGTATCTGATCTCTTCCTATAAAGCTGGATAAAAGCTACCCTAAGTTAGCCTGCTTCTATGAATTCAGGGTAAATACTTCTTCAAGGCCCATGAAGGTACTTCGAGTCAAGGTAATGGGTACCCATGGCTGAGGAGGCAGACCTGGACACCTGCAGGTATCCTAGGGTCCTAAGAATGTTCTGGAACCAGAGGGTCCTTTCTTTTGTGCACAGCCCTGAGCAGGAGCAGGTCTAGGCCCCATCTCTCTAGCTGTTGAAGCATCCCTTTGCATCTGGAAGCGGTGGTCTTGTGGAGGACAGCAAGAGCCCCTGACAGGTGCCTGTATGTGTGAGTCTATCTGGGGTGGAGTGGAAGCCTAAGAAAGGACCTTTGTGCCCCTTGTGAGGAACTGTGGGCAGGGCAGAGTAACTTCCAGAACATCTTCTGGACTCGGGATGCTCCTGGCCTTCACCTCTAGACCAACAAAAGGCACACAGCCCTGTGCAAAATGCATGTAACAGGGACACTGTCCCCAGAACCCGGAGACTCTGCTAAGCAGTGGATAATCACAAGGAACAGCCTCCCACAGGGCTGCTGGGGCCGGTATCACAGGCTGCCCACCCGTTGGATGCCTCCTCAGAGAAGCATTTGGTGCAGCAGCTGAGATCGCACGAGCATTCCACACCCTCAGCCCAGCCCACCTGGGACCACTTTTCTTAGGCAGAAGGCACTGTCAGCAACTCCTCAGTAAGATGTGGGCTTACCAGGGTGGATTTGATTCCAACACTTTCAGCTGCTTGGAAAGCCAGGGTGAAGTTCCTTTTCTGTAAGAGAAATTGTGTCAGTGAAATGTACAGACAGCTGAAGATCGTGAAGGACAGACAGTAACCCCTCGTGAGCCTTGACACCCTCCTCTCCAGCCAGCTCCAGCGCTATCTGCTTAGTCTTACCTTACTCAGAGAGTTGCATTCTAGCACAAGGGCCTCAGCTAACAGGATACAGATCCCCAAAAGCTAAAGCACACACCTGCCAAAAGGCTATTCTCCTCTGTGGGATCTCCAAGGGTTTTCTACAGGGCTTGGGATGCCAAAAGGGAAAAGCTGGGGAGCTGAAGAACCAATCTTCTGAGTGGGTTAACTCAACCACAGCTCTGACTAGAAGAATGGATGCCTTGTCATTTCTGAGACTCATGGTGTAGAAGAGGCTGCTAGCAGAAGTACTGGTTACAGGTTACTCAGGCTGGCTGGCATTGCCCTGACTGCTCACGCCACTATCAGCTTTCGATGGCACTTCTTAAAACCCTTGATCCTAAAAGTTGTCACCTACAAAGAACCAACTACTCCCACTGGGAATGGTGTTACATGGGCAATTCTGGGTAGACCAGGGACCAGCTGGCTGAGTGCACACAACCAATTGCAAGGGACTGAGCTGGGACAGGCTGCTGTGCAGCAAGGCTGCAGTGCGTGAGTGAGTAAGGCACCATCCCTAGTTTTGCCTCACCTTATCTTGGCTGTTCAGTTCTTGATAGGGTATGTGGGCTGGGAGATAGGTGTGAAGCAGTGCACAGAAAGCCAGCCCATCGTTCCAGCTGCTGCTGAAGTTCGTGATGTCGATATTCTGAGGGAAAAGAACAAGAGGGATGCAGTGTGAGCTCTGATCTCTTCAGGAAGAATGCAGTGTGAGCTCTGATCTTTGGAGGAATGCCGTGTAAGGAGGACACAGAGGCCCCCCCATTATGTGACCTCGCTCTGGAGGAAGCAGAGCTCGCTGTAGGTCGCCCTGATGATCGACCATCACTAGGCTTTTTATGGGTCGCCCATCCCTCCTACCTACCGGCTGCAGATTGGTGTTCCTGCCTGGTAAGGCCTGAGTCTGAGACATGACTATAAGCTGTTTCACACATGGGAAGGCCTCTCCAAGGCCTGTTGTGGGAACAATACACACAGCCAGATGTGGGTGACAACCACTGAGGTTCCTCATTACTAATTAAAGCATTTCAAAGATTTTCAAACTGGGTATTGCGATACACACCTGTGATCCTAGTATGCAGGTAGATCGTGAGTTCAAAGCCAGCTTGGGACACACAGTCACTGTGAGACTGTTACAAATGCTGGTAACAATGAAGAGACTCCTATCTGCCTGCAAGTTGTATAGGGAGCTACAGAGCTTTAGTTTTAGTGAATAATCTACAACGGAGTGGGCTTTTGCTGCCTTTGAATAATAAGCCAAGCTCCTGAAAGGAAGCCTCACTCACACTCCACTAAGGAACCTAACAACTCGCTTAAGGGAAGGGGATATTAGTAACAGCCAATTCCCATCCTTCCAGCCAGTGTGCATCTCCGAAGTGTGCGCACACATGAGAAGACATGCTCTGTGCAGGGACTGATATGTGCACTGAAGGTAAAAAGCACCCAAATCCACAGCTCCCCAACACCTCTCGCTTCACATGTCAGTTCACTGCGTTCAGAGTCTGCCTCCTGAGGTGAAAGACCAGTTTCACTACAAAAGGCACACTCCCCAGCCTCTGAGAAGTCTCCAGGAACGACAGGTCCCCAGAGGAACACCAATACTGTTCAAAGCTGCACGGAGCTGCAGTTTCACAGGTGACGACGCGCTCACCAGCCTCACTCCTCTGTGTAAAACGACAGATTCTGAAACCATGCGAAAACAAGCCCTGAGCCGGGAGGCTGTGTCCACAATGGCCAGTGTCTACAGATCTAGGTGGTCGCTTCATGGAGCAAGCATGAGGCCATCGGCTTCACCGCCAAGTGCAGTTTCTTGCCCCCGACAGTGCGTGCACACAACACTGCCCGCCCGCCCTCCGGCAGCACCTTTACCAAGCACACCTGGTGAGTGCAGGGTTCCAGAGCAAAGGCTGCTCCCCTCTGACTTCAACACTTTTTCATAAGCTTGTGTGGAGAAGGAAGGCAGATTGCAAAAACAGAAAGATGGCAACCTGACTGCACTTGAGGTGGCCTAAGCTGGTGGTGGCCACCAGGAACTGAAGGGTGCTCCCATACAGTGTTCACTGCTATCACCCTCCCCCTGATGCCTGGGTTTGATCAGAGTCCTCTGTCTTGGTATCATACTGATCAGCTTTCCTGGTCATTCCTTCTTTTCCCTTCCCCTCCCCAAATCTCCATGCCGGCTAATAGCCACCACCCCAAAGGGGTTTTTAATGATGTTCTAGTCACCTTGAAATGAATGGTGCACTAGTTATTGCCCATAGAAGACACTCTCTCCTCAGGTATCAATGTGTGTGAGGTGCAAGTATACACTCGGGCGCAGCTGACTGTCTCTTTACTCATCTGAATCTTAAGAAGCAGACGTCCACAGTAGCCAGCCCCATCCAAGGGACCTGGGAACTGGGAGATAGACGAGACACATGCAGAGATGACAGGGACTGAGCCTTTGTCTCAAACACTACAGAGGAACCATCTAATAAGTCTTGCTTAGCTGGAGTTTTCTGTCACTGTCATTTCTGCAGTGCTGGGATGGGGGGTCCCCACAAATGCTAGGCTAGTGTTCTACCACTGGGCAGCCCCTTGTGGATCAGTCTTAAAGGAGTGTGGTTGCTTGCAGAATTGGTTCTCACTGATGGGTAGCTTGCCCAGATGGTTATCTGGGTAGAGATCCTATGCTCAGAGGAAAGTGCTGCATTTACGGGGTAAGTCCAGACTTCAGCACAGAAGAGACAGGGATGAGGCATTCGAGAGAACGGATGAACGGCATGGCATACAAGGTCCAGAATAAAATGAGCATGGAAGGTCTCCTGTTTACAGGATGCCAAAGACGGAGTCCACTAATGGTACTAAAATGAAAAGAAAAAAAAAAAAAGGAACCCTTTCCATCTTTCCAGGGCTTGCACCTAAGTGACTGGTGCAGAGGCTCCAGCATGGGCTTTGTACGGACAACAGGGCAGGAAGTGTCTGTGACACACAGAGCTCTGTGCAAGACCAGTGGCAGTATCTCACTGGAGGTCACTCACTGCTGGAAAAAGACAAACCCCTTCTTCCTGTGTCGGTGCCCCCTTCTGCTCTCGGGGACAGAAGCAGTTCTCACAGGGTTGTGGACGTGCCTAACTCCACTGCGCCTCACAGCAGAGGCTCCTGCACCTCAGCTGCCTGGCTAAGGCCGCTTCCTCCAGACAAACCCCACCCTGGTGTGGGAGAGGCTGCTACGGTGGCTCCTGAGCCTCCTAGCCCTGCTCTCACCCTCAAAACAGACACAGGATACAGCCCCTGGGCTTGAGCAAGGATCCTGGGATTCTAGGTGACAGGTGATTTGTTTACTTGGTGATAACATTTCAAATAAAAATAAAGCCCAAACCTAGATAATCTGGCTGAGTCTTCAGCTTCCACTCCCCTGGTGGCTGGAGGTAAGCTATTTAGGAGTAAGGTAGTGTGAGTGACTAAGGACTGTGAGGCCATTAAGCACTGAACCCAAAGGAACCCTGAGTACCAGCTTAGCCTCTCCCCAGACCTGCTCTCAAAACACTCAGCAGGGAAGGAATGCCAGGCCTGGACACAGGGGTGCTCCTTGGAAAGTGGGGAGAAGCCTGCAAGCCTGAGGCAGCAGGTCTCCTGCCCCCAGCCGCTCCAGATATTTTACTCTTTTTAATTGTCAGGGCTTAAAGTCTTGCTACTAATAAAATAATGTCAGCTGTATTTACAAAGGTCTGCAAATACTAGGTGGCTTGCAAAGGGAAAAGATTGAAAAAAAAAAAAAAAAAAAGCTCAGTGCTAGAAAAGTCAGGGAGGAAACCCCTGGCCACATGTGAAGCTCTTCACCACATGCTTACTGCAGTACGGCGGTACAATGACAGGACGGGTAAACAGACTGGAGAAGAAATACCAAGTTACCAGAGAGACAGCTTTTCCCTTTATCACCCAATGAAGGTCCAAGTGCCCCACCCTGCTCAGGCTACCACCTTTCCCCAAATTGGACTGTGAGTGGTCTCTAGGCTGCTGGGATGGGTGGGAAAGCCTGGGCCCCTCAGCAAGTCTGTTGCCACCAGGACCAGCTCCTTACTGTTCCCTCAGTCTGTACTCCACAGCATGGCAGGTGCAGCCTGATGTACAAGGCTAAACATTCCCTCTGAGGCCAACAGCAAAGAGAGATGGGCCTGCCTGGGGACCGCTGCTCTATGAAATCTCTGTTACTTTACCTGCCCACAATGGCCAAATAAAATGTCACCCTTCGGTTTTTTTTGACAACTGGTAAAGACTTAAACTTTTTGTGACTCAGAAAAAAACCCAAATCAACACCACTGTGTGAAGCTTGTGGATGGGGGGAGGGCCAGGCCTCACACTTCCTGGACGCATAACTCATAGCAGCTGTGCCCTGGCTTGAGTGAAGTAGATATAGAAATGTCAGTCCACCATGATGACGAATTGCTAAGCCTTTAGGAGACACCTGAAGAGTCCCTGAGTTGTCTATTCACTGTGAGGAAGGCAGAAGCTAAGACACCCAATCTATCATCATTTGCTTCAAAACAGCAAGACTGCACCGCCTCCTCAAGTGCATGTGTTGTCTGCAGGCCTTAAATAAGGCTTTATGAGATCACCATTAAAAAAGAAAAGACACAAAGTGAATGGGTAGGGAAGGGGGAGTGGATCTT